CAGCGGACCCTGCCATCACAAGGAACAGTCTTGAGGCGGCACAGCCGAAACCTGGGTGGGTCCCGCGGCTACCCGACTCCCAGTCCCACCAGAACACTATCACTGAGGTGGTGATAATTGCAACTGGACTGACAGGGCAAGAACCTCAGATGTGATTACAAGACCTCCATGGTGGTTACAAGGGTTGTCAGGATAACGCCATATATTTGACGTCATGAAAACTGGAATCTTATTTTTTCCTTCGTGCTATCCAACAGAACCTCAACAAGACTTGTCATTCCAGGGACCAAATGCCAACATCCCACTAATTCACAGCTATTAGTTAAAACCACTAGAACATTCCCTGTTGAAAAGGGAAGAAACAACAGAGAAATAAGATATATTAGTAGGCTTTACACTTTTCCCCCCTCCCATAATCTGCTATTGTGTTCACAGACTGAAATTTTTGTTCAAATCAAAATCTGGATTTGCAAACTGGTCTGAAACAGCAGCGCTACTTTTTGAATCATTGGTATTTTTGAAGGCTTAGATTTCAGAGATACTGTCATCAGCACCATCTAGTGCTGTAGAGACAGAATAATCGGTTAAAACCAACCTGGCGATGCTTATGGTGAGCGGTACAGCAGGGAGAGGTTAAATCCGGTGTCTGCTATCAGAAGATAGAGATAATTTCACAAAGGGGAAGAATTTGTAATAAAAAGTATTTCCAGCAAGTGGATTCTTCTCCAAAATACATGCAGCATTTTGGCTAGAAAGGAAATTTAAATATAAACAAAGGAGTGGGATCAGGCTTTTCAAAAGTGCATATATTCAATACATGTGAAGAGGAAAATGCACATACACTGGTCTTCTGCGTGGAATTGGAAGAGCGAAAGGCAATTTTATTTTCTCTGGCAGAAGTGTAGAGAACTGGGGAAAAAAGGAGAAAGGAAAAGGACGGAATACTATTTCTTTATATCCTATTTTTGCTTCCTTAAATATTTTCCTTTTTTTTTTTTTTAAAATTAAGTGTAACGTAACTAAATTAGAGTGCTTGTTTATGGCATAAACAAGCCCTTGGTGGCTGACTTCTATTTCCAAAGCAGCAGCGAGGGGGTCAGCTCTATTATCCGTTGTCTTTGGCACGGGGGCTTCCCCTTGCAAAGTTTTGCTTTCCTACCACAGCTCATCACCTTCGCACCTGTGCTGAGACACTTTGTGGGACCACTGCCCAGAACACCAATATTCAGGTTAAAAAAACTCCACACAATTCTCTTCTTCATAAATTGCTTATCCTTCTCAAAGAACCATCCCTTGGAGGAGCATGAGGGCGGGGACACGTAGGCAGGAATTTTTCATACTAAGAATAAAAACACACAGAACTGCACGCAGAGCAAGCTAAAAGAACTCCACAGAAACACTACAACTAAACAGCAAAAATTAAGGCCAGATATTGTGATTAACTGATGAATTTGGAGCTCCAAAGGCATTAGCGTTGCCTCCCAAAATGGTGTAAAACCACCAAGTAATTCACTTCTTATGCTCCTATCTCTACCTCTGAAACCCACCTTGATAAATATCAATTTCATTAAGTATGAGAACAGATTTAGTTACAATTCTCAAAAGGCATTTGCATGAAACTTAGCTCATAAATATCTTTAATCATTGACAAGCGTTGCCTTCGAAAGGGGACGCTTGATTTTGTGGCAGTCACATCTTCAGTGTCTGTAAGGTTTTGGGCTTTATTTTTATTTTTAAGTCATGCATAATGCAATTCTAAAAGGGCAATAACGTTTTACAACAAAATTGTTCCCCTCCCCACAACAAGGTACAAGAGACAAGTGCCAATTTATGCAGAGGCGGAAATTTAAGACCATCTCCCAAATTTCCCTCACATGTCTTAGTCACACTTCTATTTTTGCCCCACTAAAAATCAAGCTGAGATCAAATTGAAAAATATATATACTAAGTGGTCACAGAGGGCAACCTGCACAGGTTGACAAGAATATGGATTTTCCTACCAGAATACTTTTCCTTTTTCTTCCATTCTTCTACATCGACTATCAGACAGGCTATGGAGCTCAACAGCCCTTTCATCTCACCCATTATGGACATTTTATAATAGCAACAAATTATGTTCAGAACAAAGAAAACGTCTTGGTACCTCAACCCATCTCTCACTCATGGAAGTACTTCTGGACCAATGTTTAGCAAGCAAAATAACAGGTTGGAATAATAGCAAGATGAAATAACAGCTGATCTCTATTACAGATCATCACATCACACCAGGGATGAGCTCAAGCAACGAGGAAGACTCAAGGCTGAACAACAACCTCAAGGTCTTGTGTTTCTGATTTTTAGGAATTACGAAAGCATTGGTTTCTTAACTCCCTCTACACAGATGAAGTTTTTAATTCAACACATGGCTGAACTTCGATCAATAAAGAAATGATTACAGACTAAACAGTAATGGCTGCCTAAATGCAAGTGATCTGATTATGTGTTATTTGCACGCACAATAAAATTCAAACCAGTAATATATGAACTTAATGCTTTCAAAAACCAATCCTACAAAACCTGTGGATCAAAAAAAAAAAGCAAGCCAGTAATGGGAATTCAGTTAACAACTTTCTTCTTGGTCCACCAAAAAATCACAAGCCAACACCCATGAAAAGTGAGTTGCAAGTCCTGCAGAAAGTCTGATTTACAGCAGATTGAAGCAGTTTATAAAGTATACTTCTCATATACAAAAAATGAATGGATAAAATGGCACTGTTATAACAAAAAAATTAGAATAAAATATAAGGGAATTAAAATTAGAAGTTGAAAGTAAATCCACAATTAGAATTTGCCAAAAACTGAAGCTTTCTGAAAGCTTTGGACAATGAGAAGGAAAGGTACCCGTGTACTTTATTTTAAGAAAGTAAATAGGATGACCCTAGATAATGACATGCCAGTTAATCCTGAGCGTAACCATGGAACAGCTACTGCGAGACTCAGAGTAGGATATCGCTGGCATAAAACCCCCAGACCTTTTCAAGCACTCAATCGTGTTTTTCAATGAGACTAGAAATAAAATAAAGCATGAAGTCCCCCTGTTGTAACAGGCTCCTGCATGTCACTTATATGACTTTGTTGCACATGGGATTTTTCAGTAAGAAACTCGAATGCTAAAGAGCAACATGGCACACGTAATATGAACTGAAAATCAGACATCTGTCCAGTTTGAAATATCTTCAGATTTGAATCTGGAAATAAGTTTTCTTAATAGGGCCAAACAGAAACATCTTCTTGGCCCTTCTAAAAGCCGATAGCTATTTAACACTTGCTAAAGCTACCTAAATACTTTCAGTGATATACAGATGGTATATAAGATGATGCGTAT